AGGGGGAGAGAGAGAGAAAGGGGGAGAGAGAGAGAGAGAGAGAGAGAGGTTTCCCAACTGTTTCTGGGTCTTTTCTTAAGAAATGAACTGAGAAAACCTGTCCTGGCATCATTCTCTGCATAGTTTTTGTTCACCTGATGTCACAGCATAACTAAATCACCAAACCGTGCCAGCAGTATGCGTGGAGAGGACAATGGGTGTGCTAGTAATTATAGAGCCGGGAGAAGCAGGATCTGGATATTGTAAATCCTGGACAAACAATCATCTCTGACAAAAGACAGAGAAAAGCTAAAGCACATGACTTCTATATAATAATTGCCATAGCTATTCTGTTTCAGATTTACCTTGAAAATAAAGATTCATAATAATTTATACAAATCAGTAACTACCATAGTTCTATTCTCACAGGTTCATTTGTAGAGCCATCTCCACCGAAAATAAATGTTTCAGTTGTTAGCAAGTTGAATCAAACATTACCTCCAAAAGGTGGACATATGATTATGGAATCCAGAAGCCAGCTTCATTGACAACAACTAAGGCACATTGGCTACCTTTCTCCTGGGATTTGTCCAGGCCTTCCTTACCTTATTTTTCTCACACACTCCTGACATCACAGTACCTCAAAGGGTCACAATCCTAGAGGTCAACAATGGTATTACTTCCCCTATTACTCCCCCTACTTCCCCAGAATGTCAGATTTCTAACTGGGGAGACCGGCCACGAGAGAGCGAGTTCTTCATCATTATGTGGGAGGGGCACTGACAAACTGCTGCAGCGAAATCTCAGCAATAGAGTCTCCCGGTTTTAAAAAACTGGAGACCGTTTGATAATTGAACTAACTGGTGTCTACCCAATCTGACTTCCTGTGGAGTTGCTGTACTGTACTTATGCTGAGCCGGAGGGATAACAAGTGAGCTCCACACAGAAGAGTCACAATACTGCAGTTACCTGATTCAATATGCAGTCACAGCACAATTGCAAGGGGACAGCAGCTGGATGTCAGCAAAAAAAAAAAAAAAAACAACAGAGCAAGCAACCACTATAACCATGATATGCTATATGGCTAAAAGTCTGTGGGCACCTGACCATCAGTCCTGCTATATAGCCAAATCATTGGGTTCAGGTATTTCCAGTGAAGGGTGCTGTTAATGCTAAAGTTTCCAAAGACATTTTATACAACTGTGAGCTTCCCAGCATGTGGCAACAGTATGACTGTGACCCTGTGCAAAGCTACTAAGGCACATTGGCTACCTTTCTCCTGGGATTTGTCCAGGCCTTCCTTACCTTATTTTTCTCACACACTCCTGACATCACAGTACCTCAAAGGGTCACAATCCTAGAGGTCAACAATGGTATTACTTCCCCTATTACTCCCCCTACTTCCCCAGAATGTCAGATTTCTAACTGGGGAGACCGGCCACGAGAGAGCGAGTTCTTCATCATTATGTGGGAGGGGCACTGACAAACTGCTGCAGCGAAATCTCAGCAATAGAGTCTCCCGGTTTTAAAAAACTGGAGACCGTTTGATAATTGAACTAACTGGTGTCTACCCAATCTGACTTCCTGTGGAGTTGCTGTACTGTACTTATGCTGAGCCGGAGGGATAACAAGTGAGCTCCACACAGAAGAGTCACAATACTGCAGTTACCTGATTCAATATGCAGTCACAGCACAATTGCAAGGGGACAGCAGCTGGATGTCAGCAAAAAAAAAAAAAAAAACAACAGAGCAAGCAACCACTATAACCATGATATGCTATATGGCTAAAAGTCTGTGGGCACCTGACCATCAGTCCTGCTATATAGCCAAATCATTGGGTTCAGGTATTTCCAGTGAAGGGTGCTGTTAATGCTAAAGTTTCCAAAGACATTTTATACAACTGTGAGCTTCCCAGCATGTGGCAACAGTATGACTGTGACCCTGTGCAAAGCCAGCTCCATAAAGACATGGTTTGAGGAGTCTGGTGTGAAGGAACTCGAGTGTACTGCACAGAGCCCTGACCTCAACCCCACTGAATACTTTTGGGATCAATTAAAGCACAAACCAGATCCAACATCAGTACCTAACTTTACAAATGGTTAAATATGAACAAATTCCCCAGACATACTCGAAAATTCTTGAGGAAAGTCTCCCCGGAAGAGTGGAGACTGATGTAGCCACAATGAGGGCCAAGCTCCATATTAATGCCTTTGGTTTTGGAATGGGATGTCCAACAAGCTCACATAGGTGTGATGGCCAGGTGTCTTCAAATTATCATCGATAAGGAGCACCTTTATGATCCTTGAGATCCTTGATCCTTTAAAACAAATCTTTTCCGAGAGATACATGGGGACTGCGGGGACTTCCAGCGTCCATTCTATTCTGAGGATCTTACAGTAGTTGTCTGGCTAGTAAACTGACTAACTGGGTTCTGTAACAAACTGATTTGGAGCAAGCATGTGTATGTATAAAGTCAGACATCCTTATCTGTACGCTTGCTCCAGGTAATGGGCACAAAGTCCTGATGCCAAATGGTAAACACGATGTAAGAGGAGGAATAGTGAGGAGAAGAAGGAGGAAGAGGAATAGTGAGGAGAAGAAGGAGGAAGAGGAATAGTGAGGAGAAGAAGGAGGAAGAGGAATAGTGAGGAGAAGAAGGAAGAAGAGGAATAGTGAGGAGAAGAAGGAGGAAGAGGAATAGTGAGGAGAAGAAGGAGGAAGAGGAATAGTGAGGAGAAGAAGGAGGAAGAGGAATAGTGAGGAGAAGAAGGAGGAAGAGGAATAGTGAGGAGAAGAAGGAGGAAGAGGAATAGTGAGGAGAAGGAGGAGGAAGAGGAATAGTGAGGAGAAGGAGGAGGAAGAGGAATAGTGAGGAGAAGGAGGAGGAAGAGGAATAGTGAGGAGAAGGAGGAGGAAGAGGAATAGTGAGGAGAAGGAGGAGGAAGAGGAATAGTGAGGAGAAGGAGGAGGAAGAGGAATAGTGAGGAGAAGGAGGAATAGTGAGGAGAAGGAGGAATAGTGAGGAGAAGGAGGAATAGTGAGGAGAAGGAGGAATAGTGAGGAGAAGGAGGAATAGTGAGGAGAAGGAGGAATAGTGAGGAGAAGGAGGAATAGTGAGGAGAAGGAGGAATAGTGAGGAGAAGGAGGAAGAAGGAGAAGAAGGAGGAGAAGGAGGAAGAAGGAGGAGAAGGAGGAAGGAGGAGGAGAAGGAGGAAGGAGGAAAAGGAGGAAGAAGGAAGAAGGGGGAGAAGGCGGAAGAAGAAGGAGGGAGAGGAAGGAGGGAGAGGAAGGAGGGCGAGGAAGGAGGACGAGGAAGGAGGACGAGGAAGGAGGACGAGGAAGGAGGACGAGGAAGGAGGACGAGGAAGGAGGACGAGGAAGGAGGACGAGGAAGATGAAGAAGGAGGAAGATGAAGAAGGAGGAAGATGAAGAAGGAGGAGGAGAAGAAGAACGAGAAGAAGCAGGAGAAGAAGGAGCAATGGCAGCCTGCATGGCTCTCTTAGAAAAGGTTTCCTTAAGCAAAAAGTAAATGATGAAGAAGAGAGAAGAAGGAGAAGAAGGAAGGAAGAGGAATAGTGAGGAGAAGGAGGAGGAAGAGGAATAGTGAGGAGAAGGAGGAGGAATAGTGAGGAGGAGGAAGAGGAATAGTGAGGAGAAGGAGGAGGAAGAGTGAGGAGAAGGAGGAGGAAGAGGAATAGTGAGAAGGAGGAAGAGGAATAGTGAGGAGGAAGAGAAATAGTGAGGAGAAGGAAGAGAAATAGGGAGGAGGAGGAATAGTGAGGAGAAGGAGGAATAGTGAGGAGAAGGAGGAATAGTGAGGAAGAAGGAGGAGGAAGAAGGAGGAGGAAGAAGGAAGAGGAAGAAGGAAGAGGAAGGAGGAAGAGGAAGGAGGAAGAAGAAAGAGAAAGGAGGAAGAGGAAGGAGGAAGAGGAAGGAGGAAGAAGGAAGAGGAAGGAGGAAGAGGAAGGAGGAAGAGGAAGGAGGAAGAAGGAAGAGGAAGGAGGAAGAGGAAGGAGGAAGAGGAAGGAGGAAGATGAAGAAGGAGGAAGATGAAGAAGGAGGAAGAGGAATAGGGAGGAGGAGAAGCAGAACGAGAAGAAGCAGGAGAAGAAGGAGCAATGGCAGCCTGCATGGCTCTCTTAGAAAAGGTTTCCTTAAGCAAAAAGTAAATGATGAAGAAGGCACGTCGCCCTTATCAAGTAGTAAGACTAAGGCCATTATTGCACCAGTGCAAGTTAGAAAACAATTGGACCTGAATGGTTGCTATGGGGCAACACAGATTTTTCTAATGGATGATACAAAGCCCCCTTACCGGAAGGTAACACTTCACGCCAATGTTCTTAAGGGTTTCATTAAAAACATTCATGTCTTCAGGCATGCTCTTCGGGTGGTTCAATAAGATCTCATTTCCCAGTCGCCACATAACCTGTGAAAAAGAGAGAAAATAAAAAAGGAAAGAAACGTCACGCATTATGACAAGTGCTTCCGATACCCACTGCAGCTTCAGTTCCACTTTACTACTCCATGCACGAAAAGTCCATCTTGTAATCAGAAGGACGTGTATACTGGCTGTTGCTCTTGATGACAACATTATGGGGCAAGGGATTAATGGAGGTTAATTTGCCAACATTTTTCATTACAATCCCAAATGTTTTATATTCAAAATGTTCACAAATCTGTCTTCAGTAAAATGATAGTCTAGTGCAAGGGTAGGAAACCTTGGCACTCCAGCTGCAGTGATACTACAAATTCCATCATGCCTCTGGAAGTCATTTCCGTGGTTTTCAGTTCTGCAATGCCTCATGGGAATTGTAGTTGAAAAACAGCTAGAGTACCAAGATTGCCTACCCCTAGTCTAGTGGAGTGCTATGGTTAACTATCCTCTGCTTTATTGAATAAGCCTGTATGCAGGTGACTTCCTACTTCTAGAAGGCTGAAAACATTGCAATATAGGAAAAGTTACCTCCGGAACTTTAATCAACTCTGTAGCAGATTTGCTCTCCATGGACTGCACATAGGAGGTGAAGAAACTAGTGGCCCTCTCCCATTGGTGCTTATACAGGGCCTCATGGATGAGGTGTAAACATGCGGACGTTGTTTGAGTTGAGAGTATGCGCCTGGTAGTCACAGCTGCATGGATATGGAAAAAAGACAGACAATTAAATGTCATGGTCAGCAGAGCAAAAGACGAGAATCAATCACCTTAATCTAATCCAGAAATACAAAGCAACCAGTCAGCATGAAATCCGCTCACCAACATCTAATAGCTTTGGGTTCCGAAGAAGAAACAGGACTCTTCACTCCATAAGTAAGGAGCTAAGTGAAATCCGGCTGTAGAGGACTACACTGAATTGTCTATTTTCCCCTTCAGGACAAAGTGACAGGCGTCTCCCCACACAGACACATATATACCCTACACTCCCCCCCCCCAATGCCTGTTCACCTGCAGGAGCCCCAAGTCTAATCCCTGAGCAAACTCGATGTCAGAACTTACACAGGGTTAAACTGTGTCTACAGCCAAAACCTTTTTCTTTAGCTTTGGATAACTTGGGGAAAGGTTAGACCAGGGGTAGCCAAACTCCGGCCATCCAGCTGTGGTGGAACTACAAATCCCATGAAGCATCGCAAAATTCTAACAGCCACAGACATGTCTCCCGGAGAGAGATGCATCATGGGATTTGTAGTTTTACCACAGCTGGAGGGCTAGAGTTTGGCTACCCCTGTGTTAGACCATCAGTTAGGTTTTTCTTTTTATTGCCGTCTGTGTCCCCATTGGGGAGATTCAACTGCTGTGTTTGACCTAATGACCACTGTCACCGAGAAAGTGAGGGAAAATCTGAACATTTTACAGTTGTCACCAGAACAAGAGGCGAGGGGAATTTCCCAATACTTGTTCCAGTGACAACTCTCTAAGAGGGACCTTCCTCACTTTGTAGAGATATCCTCTCATTTCCTGTTGCATCCCGGGACAGGAAGTGAAGCGAAATTTCCCATGGCACACAGACAGCAAAAAATAAACATAAAAAGGGGTTTAACTAGGGATGAACTGATATCGATACTAGTACCGATACCGAGTATTTGGGCGAGTACTCGTACTCGGCCAAACGCTCAGATACCAGAACTTCCGGTCAAAGGAACATTTCCTCTGACCGGCAGTGCCGTAGGGGAACATGGAGCCAGCTTCCCGTGCGATCATGAAGCTGGGTTGCGAGTAATGACCCGTCTCCCAGCTTCCTGATTGGCCAGGAAGCCGGCTCGATGCTGATTGGCTGGGAAGCCGGCTTCCCGGCCAAGCACCATCAAGCCTGCCAGACAACATGGAGTAGGCTTCTCAATCAGATTGCCCGGGAAGCCAGCTCCATGCCAGCGGAAGCACCGGTATCGACGAGTACGGAAACTTAAGTATCGGTACTCAATATCTAAAAACCGGTATCTGTGCATCCCTAGGTTTAACCCTTTCATACTTATCCAAAACCGATAGACATACATGGCCTGGCCAAAAAAAGTCACACACTCCAATATTTTGCTGGACCGCCTTTAGCTTTGATTACGGCACACATTCTCTGTGGCATTGCTTCTATAAGCTTATGCAATGTCACATTTATTTCAGTCCAGAGTTGCAGTCATTTTTCACCGTGATCTTGTAGTGATAATGGGAGAGTCAGCCCATTGTGTAAAATCTTCTCCGGCACATCCCAAAGATTCTCAATGGGCACATAACGTTGCTGAAAGTAGACTTGACCAACGGAAGCAACCCCAGATCATCACACGGCCCCCCACAGGCTTGTATGGTACATAGACATGATGGGTACATCAGTTCACCCGTCTCTCTTCTTACCCTAATGCACCCATAACTCTGAAACAGAGTAAATCTGGACTCATTAGATCACATGACCTTTTTCCATTGCTCCAGAGTCCGATCTTTATGCTCCCTAGAAAATTGAAGTCTTCTTTTCCCCGATTATCTTTACTGATGAGTATTTTTCTTAAGGCTACACAGCTGTTTAGGCCCAATGCTTTGAGTTCTCTTCGCACGGTGTGTGTGGAAATGATTTACTTACATCATTAACCCCTTAGAGACCAAGGCTTTTATTTCGTTTTTTGTACCCATGATATAATCCACATTTTAGGCCTGACAATTACTTCTCCCCCCCACATATTATATATTTTCTGTAAGCCAAGACCCTGTAGAATAAAATGTTGGCAGTTAAAAATGTTTATGTTGCACGATATTAGCGCAACGTATTATCAAACCCCAAAATGTAGTGAAAAAAAAATGCCCTTAAAACACAAATACACATTTTTTTAATTAACGTATAAAAGATGAGGTTACAACAAGTAAATAGAGACCCAACATGCCCAGGTTAAAAATTGCGTGCGTCCGTGAAACTGCGACAAAATTCAGTACCCCAAAAAGTCCATAAATGACGCTTTAAAAGCCCCCACAGATCAGTTTAGAGACAAGCATAAATATGAGGAAGGAGGACGAGGAAGGAGGACGAGGAAGGAGGACGAGGAAGGAGGACGAGGAAGGAGGACGAGGAAGGAGGACGAGGAAGGAGGACGAGGAAGATGAAGAAGGAGGAAGATGAAGAAGGAGGAAGATGAAGAAGGAGGAGGAGAAGAAGAACGAGAAGAAGCAGGAGAAGAAGGAGCAATGGCAGCCTGCATGGCTCTCTTAGAAAAGGTTTCCTTAAGCAAAAAGTAAATGATGAAGAAGAGAGAAGAAGGAGAAGAAGGAAGGAAGAGGAATAGTGAGGAGAAGGAGGAGGAAGAGGAATAGTGAGGAGAAGGAGGAGGAATAGTGAGGAGGAGGAAGAGGAATAGTGAGGAGAAGGAGGAGGAAGAGTGAGGAGAAGGAGGAGGAAGAGGAATAGTGAGGAGGAGGAAGAGGAATAGTGAGGAGAAGGAGGAGGAAGAGGAATAGTGAGAAGGAGGAAGAGGAATAGTGAGGAGGAGGAAGACGAATAGTGAGGAGAAGGAGGAGGAAGAGGAATAGTGAGGAGAAGGAGGAAGAGGAATAGTGAGGAGAAGGAGGAGGAAGAGGAATAGTGAGAAGGAGGAAGAGGAATAGTGAGGAGGAAGAGAAATAGTGAGGAGAAGGAAGAGAAATAGGGAGGAGGAGGAATAGTGAGGAGAAGGAGGAATAGTGAGGAGAAGGAGGAATAGTGAGGAAGAAGGAGGAGGAAGAAGGAGGAGGAAGAAGGAAGAGGAAGAAGGAAGAGGAAGGAGGAAGAGGAAGGAGGAAGAGGAAGGAGGAAGAGGAAGGAGGAAGAAGGAAGAGGAAGGAGGAAGAGGAAGGAGGAAGAGGAAGGAGGAAGAAGGAAGAGGAAGGAGGAAGAGGAAGGAGGAAGAGGAAGGAGGAAGATGAAGAAGGAGGAAGATGAAGAAGGAGGAAGAGGAATAGGGAGGAGGAGAAGCAGAACGAGAAGAAGCAGGAGAAGAAGGAGCAATGGCAGCCTGCATGGCTCTCTTAGAAAAGGTTTCCTTAAGCAAAAAGTAAATGATGAAGAAGGCACGTCGCCCTTATCAAGTAGTAAGACTAAGGCCATTATTGCACCAGTGCAAGTTAGAAAACAATTGGACCTGAATGGTTGCTATGGGGCAACACAGATTTTTCTAATGGATGATACAAAGCCCCCTTACCGGAAGGTAACACTTCACGCCAATGTTCTTAAGGGTTTCATTAAAAACATTCATGTCTTCAGGCATGCTCTTCGGGTGGTTCAATAAGATCTCATTTCCCAGTCGCCACATAACCTGTGAAAAAGAGAGAAAATAAAAAAGGAAAGAAACGTCACGCATTATGACAAGTGCTTCCGATACCCACTGCAGCTTCAGTTCCACTTTACTACTCCATGCACGAAAAGTCCATCTTGTAATCAGAAGGACGTGTATACTGGCTGTTGCTCTTGATGACAACATTATGGGGCAAGGGATTAATGGAGGTTAATTTGCCAACATTTTTCATTACAATCCCAAATGTTTTATATTCAAAATGTTCACAAATCTGTCTTCAGTAAAATGATAGTCTAGTGCAAGGGTAGGAAACCTTGGCACTCCAGCTGCAGTGATACTACAAATTCCATCATGCCTCTGGAAGTCATTTCCGTGGTTTTCAGTTCTGCAATGCCTCATGGGAATTGTAGTTGAAAAACAGCTAGAGTACCAAGATTGCCTACCCCTAGTCTAGTGGAGTGCTATGGTTAACTATCCTCTGCTTTATTGAATAAGCCTGTATGCAGGTGACTTCCTACTTCTAGAAGGCTGAAAACATTGCAATATAGGAAAAGTTACCTCCGGAACTTTAATCAACTCTGTAGCAGATTTGCTCTCCATGGACTGCACATAGGAGGTGAAGAAACTAGTGGCCCTCTCCCATTGGTGCTTATACAGGGCCTCATGGATGAGGTGTAAACATGCGGACGTTGTTTGAGTTGAGAGTATGCGCCTGGTAGTCACAGCTGCATGGATATGGAAAAAAGACAGACAATTAAATGTCATGGTCAGCAGAGCAAAAGACGAGAATCAATCACCTTAATCTAATCCAGAAATACAAAGCAACCAGTCAGCATGAAATCCGCTCACCAACATCTAATAGCTTTGGGTTCCGAAGAAGAAACAGGACTCTTCACTCCATAAGTAAGGAGCTAAGTGAAATCCGGCTGTAGAGGACTACACTGAATTGTCTATTTTCCCCTTCAGGACAAAGTGACAGGCGTCTCCCCACACAGACACATATATACCCTACACTCCCCCCCCCCAATGCCTGTTCACCTGCAGGAGCCCCAAGTCTAATCCCTGAGCAAACTCGATGTCAGAACTTACACAGGGTTAAACTGTGTCTACAGCCAAAACCTTTTTCTTTAGCTTTGGATAACTTGGGGAAAGGTTAGACCAGGGGTAGCCAAACTCCGGCCATCCAGCTGTGGTGGAACTACAAATCCCATGAAGCATCGCAAAATTCTAACAGCCACAGACATGTCTCCCGGAGAGAGATGCATCATGGGATTTGTAGTTTTACCACAGCTGGAGGGCTAGAGTTTGGCTACCCCTGTGTTAGACCATCAGTTAGGTTTTTCTTTTTATTGCCGTCTGTGTCCCCATTGGGGAGATTCAACTGCTGTGTTTGACCTAATGACCACTGTCACCGAGAAAGTGAGGGAAAATCTGAACATTTTACAGTTGTCACCAGAACAAGAGGCGAGGGGAATTTCCCAATACTTGTTCCAGTGACAACTCTCTAAGAGGGACCTTCCTCACTTTGTAGAGATATCCTCTCATTTCCTGTTGCATCCCGGGACAGGAAGTGAAGCGAAATTTCCCATGGCACACAGACAGCAAAAAATAAACATAAAAAGGGGTTTAACTAGGGATGAACTGATATCGATACTAGTACCGATACCGAGTATTTGGGCGAGTACTCGTACTCGGCCAAACGCTCAGATACCAGAACTTCCGGTCAAAGGAACATTTCCTCTGACCGGCAGTGCCGTAGGGGAACATGGAGCCAGCTTCCCGTGCGATCATGAAGCTGGGTTGCGAGTAATGACCCGTCTCCCAGCTTCCTGATTGGCCAGGAAGCCGGCTCGATGCTGATTGGCTGGGAAGCCGGCTTCCCGGCCAAGCACCATCAAGCCTGCCAGACAACATGGAGTAGGCTTCTCAATCAGATTGCCCGGGAAGCCAGCTCCATGCCAGCGGAAGCACCGGTATCGACGAGTACGGAAACTTAAGTATCGGTACTCAATATCTAAAAACCGGTATCTGTGCATCCCTAGGTTTAACCCTTTCATACTTATCCAAAACCGATAGACATACATGGCCTGGCCAAAAAAAGTCACACACTCCAATATTTTGCTGGACCGCCTTTAGCTTTGATTACGGCACACATTCTCTGTGGCATTGCTTCTATAAGCTTATGCAATGTCACATTTATTTCAGTCCAGAGTTGCAGTCATTTTTCACCGTGATCTTGTAGTGATAATGGGAGAGTCAGCCCATTGTGTAAAATCTTCTCCGGCACATCCCAAAGATTCTCAATGGGCACATAACGTTGCTGAAAGTAGACTTGACCAACGGAAGCAACCCCAGATCATCACACGGCCCCCCACAGGCTTGTATGGTACATAGACATGATGGGTACATCAGTTCACCCGTCTCTCTTCTTACCCTAATGCACCCATAACTCTGAAACAGAGTAAATCTGGACTCATTAGATCACATGACCTTTTTCCATTGCTCCAGAGTCCGATCTTTATGCTCCCTAGAAAATTGAAGTCTTCTTTTCCCCGATTATCTTTACTGATGAGTATTTTTCTTAAGGCTACACAGCTGTTTAGGCCCAATGCTTTGAGTTCTCTTCGCACGGTGTGTGTGGAAATGATTTACTTACATCATTAACCCCTTAGAGACCAAGGCTTTTATTTCGTTTTTTGTACCCATGATATAATCCACATTTTAGGCCTGACAATTACTTCTCCCCCCCACATATTATATATTTTCTGTAAGCCAAGACCCTGTAGAATAAAATGTTGGCAGTTAAAAATGTTTATGTTGCACGATATTAGCGCAACGTATTATCAAACCCCAAAATGTAGTGAAAAAAAAATGCCCTTAAAACACAAATACACATTTTTTTAATTAACGTATAAAAGATGAGGTTACAACAAGTAAATAGAGACCCAACATGCCCAGGTTAAAAATTGCGTGCGTCCGTGAAACTGCGACAAAATTCAGTACCCCAAAAAGTCCATAAATGACGCTTTAAAAGCCCCCACAGATCAGTTTAGAGACAAGCATAAATATTGGCCTTAGAATTATTGCTCTCGCTCCGGCGTGCGCGGCGATACCCAACATGTGTAGCTCAATCATCGTTTTCATATGTAGGTGCACCCGAAGCCTGTTTGCGTGAAGATGCGCGTGCTCCCAGGGGACTTTAAAACATTTTTGTATTACTTTTACATTTATTTCATTTAGTATTCATTTTAAAAGCTGTTGTTTTTTTTACTTTACTTTAATTGCCATCACATAAGGGGCCCCACATGTGATAGCAGATTTGGCAGTGACAGGTACTCTATAAGGTGATGGTGGGGGTCCAAAAGACACCTAGTGCCACCTATATACGTTAAATAAGCTATTGAAGTGCAGATTGCTCTTCAATAGCTTATTGCTGGGCTTCAGGAGCCCCGCACTGACAGCTATAGGACTGGAAGTGATGTAATCTGCATCAATCCCGGCCCAATAGTACGGGGAGGGGGATCAGCGGACGGAGGTTCGCTGATCTCCTCCCTATCTTCCCCCCCGACACCAGAGAAGCTGGTTCCGGACCCGTAGGAGGGGCAACGGAGCCCGGGAAAAACGGCGGAGGGCAGCGGCCCGTGTACCGGCCCAGAAAAGTGATTGGGCGACAGGCGAGTCACCTGATCGCTTCTATTGTAAAGCTGACAGTGGGCTTTACAATTGCAAACAATGTTTATAATTGTAAAGCCGACTGTCAGCTTTACAATAGAAGCGATCAGGTGACTCGCCTGTCGCCCAAGAGTCCCGGCGTCTTTAGCCGCCGGGAGTCTGTTTAAACGGGCCCGGTGCCAGTGACGTACTATGCACGTCACTGGCGTCCTCTCATAACCTCTCGCAAAATCCAGGTGGTGACTTTTTTATAAGACAGTAATCAGGCCTGATGATTGGATGTTCCATAGATGCCAAATGTGGACAGTCCTGCATCTTGGTCATCTTTGCCTCTGATGCTGTGTCAAGGCCCATGTCCCAGAATCACAACATCAACCTTATTTGAGTTACTGCACATGGACAGTAACCTCAAATTGCATTAATTATGGGGCTCGGGGCTACAAATGGGTGGCTCCTGCATATTTAAAGGTGAGGTCTGGGCTGGACCAACATAAAAAGTGGGGGGTGATGGTTGGTCCCAATCTGGGTGGGACGAACCCTTAAAGTGGGCATGAATGGGCAGGAAAGGGAGAATGTTGCACGCTTATGAGTGAGAAGTATTATTTGCCATTAAAAAAACAGTTTGGAATGTTACATTTACCTTTAGGCCTTCCCGGCCTCACTGGGAGAGCCAGTCCGAAAACTTCATCTTGTTCCGGCACCTCTTCCATGTCATCTGACCTGCCGCCGTCATTCTCCACATCTGAAATGAACAAGTTCTGCTTTAGTTCCATAGCTGGTGAGTTGCCGGGAATCGAATGTTTTACATAGACTCGGGCCAGCCAAAAATGGAGGTTTTAGTTTTTGGAAGATACTGACCTCCAGGCAAACAGATCAATACACAAACAAAATCCATATACACGAGCCGTATTACCTGCCAAAGGATTTTGATTTCTGTCCACCCAGTCCTGAGATTTACACAGCACAGCCAGGTGGGTGACAACACTTACAATTAAGGAATACAGCGGTGTCCTCTCTGCTGCTGCATTGAAAGGTGGAGCAGCAGACTGATGAGCTTATGTTCTCTCCTCCTATCAGCATGTTCCTCACTTTACTGGCTCCCACTCCTGACCCTCCCTCTCCCCGTTTGAATGTTGCTGTATAAAAAAACATTTTACGAAGAAGAACGCCATTTTTCTTTTAAGTTTACCCCTGCAGTGGGGCTACCCCCACACTGCAAGGGTTAACTGCTCATTTTTCTCTATGGAGATACTCACCTGATCCTCAGGAGGTGGCGGCTCACCTCTATGCCCCTCAGCTCTGGCTGTGGTATGTCCCTCAGTGTCTTCACGTCTAATAGACCTGTATCAGACCGTGACGTGATGATGTCACGGGCCCTTAGACGGCAGCAGCCTGGGATCCGAAGAGGCTGTGGGGACCAGTCTAGCAGCCAAGCAGAGACAAGGATCAGATGTGTTTTTCTTCTTTATTCCGTCCCCCAGAGAAAAAACGAGCAGTTAACCTTGCAGTGCTGGGGTAGTCCCACTGCAAGGGTTAAAGTGACATTATAGGATACACCCCCCCCCCCCCCCCCCCCCGCGGCGGGGGGTCCCCCCCCCCCCCATATGCTGGTGTAAGGATTTACCTTAAATGATGCCTCTTGATCCGATCATCTTCTACTTTCCAGTAGTTTTCAGGAGTCCCTCCAGCGCTGGTGCCGGTCTCTGATCCAGCGCTGACCGCTGTGTCTTCCTGTGTCCCATGGAGTCTGTGCGGCTGCACGCTGCCAGGCTGCCTGCATTGACTTACTTGTGTCTCTCTTCTCCCAGCCGAAGATCTGTACTGCGCCCGCCCCATCATCCTTTGCGGCCACCCGAGATTTTTCAGATCTTCGGACAGGAGCGCGCGGCGGAGACACAGGTAAGTTTCAACCTTTTTCGTAACTTCCAAAAAAAAAATGTTTTTGCATATATTGAACGCTTGCTAGCAGTAGATATGTGCAAAAAAACCCAGTGGGTTTAATTATTCTTTAAATCCTGGACTTCCTCTTTAAAACTTTTTTAACGAATGCAGAGCTGCATTAATCTGCGTATTTTGTATCTTCCCAGTGGCACCCGCGCAGTTCATTGCACATTTGCAGCACCATGCCATCGCAGCGCCCATGCTGGGATGATGTCATCATGGCCCCCCCCCCACATAGGCGCTCACCAGACCCGAGAGTGTTTATTTCCTGATTTCCTGCAACCTCATGTGACTAGTGACATCACAGGCGGGGGGAGGGAATTTTCTCAAAGAGTCCCCTTCCTTTCCTAATGCGCTGCTGTGTATTCCAATTCCGAGCAAACATTGACTCCTTTCTATGTGCAGGATTTGCTGATGATGTCTGTTTAGGATGGAAGAAGGGAAATTAAATGCAGAGGTTAAGGCCTCATTCGCACACAACGCAAGTAAAATTGTATACTGCGTATATACGTGCGTCTATGCGCATATATACGAGCGTATATGCGTGCACTATATGCAATCCCAGAATGCATCACTCGTAATGGAATTTTTAATGTGCTGTACGCATGCACGCACGTATATACACGCGTAAACACACGTATGTGCATGTAAATATGCTGCCCGGACACATCTCTGTTCCATTCTGTTTTTGCGCATATATACGGCTCCATACGCGGCAATGTGTATGGAGCCATTTATTTGCATATGGTACAATACTCGTGTATATGCGCGGCAGTGTGAATGAGGCCTAAAGGTTACGTTTACCTTTCCAGGGTTACTGTGGCTTCTGCCCACACCGCCTCGCCATCAATTCACAGATCCTTCGACATAGAGAAACCGTGATGGAGAAAGAGTCCCATCAACCATCACAGCAGAGGGACTTTTAGTTTCCAATGGAATATAAGTGCAGTGGGTTGGAACCTCTGACAATGTTTTTATTGATGTCTGTCCCTTCCTGTCCTGGTGACCCGATTTCTCATGCTGGTGTCACAGGGACAGGAAGTAAGGGAAAATCTTACAGATCGGGCTCACAGACACAAATATAAGTCTGAGAGAACATTTGACTCTTCCCCATTCTATCCAAAACTAAAAAAATAAATGCTCTGGAGTTAGATTTCAATGTCTGTAGGTAGCGTTAGGTGCAAATGAAGGGGATTTCGTGGTGCCGTAGTTCGGGAAGGTATATAACAGAATGCACAGTCAAACATAGGACGGTTCCTGGAAATCACAGACCAACAGCTGCTGTTGGAATGCTTGGTCTTGTAGTTCCCCACTTTAATCTGAGCATGTGATTTACTTTCAATCACACACCTGAAAATACCATCCACTGAACACCACAAAACTGGCTATAACTCGTCCTGGCTTCCCTTTATTTTAAAATAAAATCCACATCAGACTCACTGTACCGGAAAATCTTACCCATGATGATGATGAACTGTGAAAGGGTTGCCCAGAAAGTACAGGTACACGCTGCTTCCGGTCTACGGTGATACAGCCATCTTGTGATTGGCAAGAACCTTTAAAGTGCGGGATTGCTTGAATCTTATGGTTGGAGAAAAACAGGTCTGATAGAAAGTCCGGCGGCCATCTTGTGATTAGCAGTAGCAATCTAGTGGTTGGCAGGCAGCCTTGAAAACGCATCGGCCATCTTGTGGCTGGAAGCTGCGGAAGCTTGTTATTGGCTGGCATAAACAAGATAGCCATGAAGCACCGCGGCCATCTTGTGGTTGTCAAACAAACCACAAGATGAAGCCCAGCGCCAGCGTTCATATTGCGGTTGTCTCAGCCTGGAAGCGGTGTGAACTTTCATTAGTGTAGATATTATGTAGACGAATGCTTAGATCTGTTGTTGCCTTGGCTCCTCTAATATAATGATGGAAGGACTGACTTCCATCACTCTTCCACCCAGTTTTGTTCTGTTTCCAGATCTTCAGTGACCAAACCATCATATTTGTGGTTGAAATCAGTCCGAAGCGTCTATGGCAGACGACGCATAACAGAGTTTCTTTAGCACATTTTTAGAACACTTTATTTCCCATTTAACTGTCTTTGCAGTGGGCTTGATTGACGGTTTCCATGGCAACCCTGATAGCTCAGGCCCACAAAACCAGCACATTTTGTAAACAGGATGGCAGATTGCTTCTTACCCCTTGTAATTTTTATTTCTTTTTTTATTATTATTAAAAACTGATGGTAGGCTTTGCGAATTGCCTGTTATGCGGCCATCATAATGCCCCGCTTGAGTCAAATACCCACCTGAGGGCCACCCAGCCATTCACACTATGGGGTCTATTTATTACCAATTCGCAGGGCCCTTTGTCCTACAAATATCTGGGATTATTCAAATTGTGTGAATGGTCGCAAAAACGAACATTCTATATATATATATATCTTTTCTTTTGAGGTTGAATGTATTGTCATTAGGAATGCATCGATATTGGTATCGGTGCCGAAACCAAGTATTTGGACGAGTACTGGTACTCGTCCAAATGCTCCCAATGCCTATACTGATAGCAGCCAGCTCCTTTCTGATTGGCTGGGAAGCAGGCTTCCTGGCCAATCAGCATGGAACTGGCTTTCCTGCCAATCAGGGAGGCGGGTCATTACTCACCACCCGGCTTCCTGTATTTTCTAACATCGGGAAGCCAATGCCCCCCATTAGCTTTAGTTCTTAGTAGAGATGAGACTGGGCTTGGTATGAACCCAGTTTGCCTGAGTTCGCCCAAGCCGCTTAAAACGCCACCCCCTCCTTCCGACCCAATCAGTTGTGGGGAGGTGCATTATCTGCCCCACAGCTATGTGTAACAAAGAGGTGGGGAATGCCCCGGCCGCAACTGCTGACAAAGATTGGGTCGGGAGGAGGGGGTGGTGGTGGTGGCTAGAGTTTTGAGCAGGCTTGGGCGAACTCGAGCGAATGGGGTCCACACCAAGCACAGCCTCATCTCTAGTTATTAGCAGCACCCGGTAAGGGACTCCGTTTGTTAGACCAGCTAGAGCCAATGCATTTAAAGTTCCGGCATCTGAGGAAGCTTTCTGGCACTGATATCAGTAACATATGAAACCTAAAAGTGAGATAGTACATTCATCATAAGGATTCTGTCCAGAATATGACCAGACCAAGAATATTTGGAGTTGTCCCATCTTTACTAATCATTTGCAACTTGGTTGTATAGAATGCATACCCGCTATGTCATTGTTACCGCATAGCATGGTCTATACGGGTTTCAGGAAGATGGCAAAGAGGGGCCAACAGGCAGCCCTGTTGTGTTCCATTGCAGAGTTGAATGGGAGGTCAAATGTTAAGTCTAACCTTTGCTGTAGGCTGCTCAGAGAGAGCCATAACCCTGGATAGCATTTTGGGGGCCATACACATGCGCTGTAAAGTTAAGCGTGAAGGGCTAACCTACACGCTCCAAAGCCTTTTTTAGGAGGAGCAGGGGCACTTTGTGCCAGTGGACATAATGTGTAACGAAAATTGATCGCAGGGAATTATAGATAGCCTTGTACGGAGCCCACTTGGTCTACATGGATCCAGGAAGGTAAGGGGGGGGTCCAAGGTGGGTATGTTTGCCTATACAGTATTTTCATATCACCTTTGGCCTGTAGCGTTGGCATAGAAGAGGGTCTTTCCCTTCTTTCGGGATAATAATAATGTGCTAGTTTGTCTTTTTAAATAATGTACAGTATCTGACTATATAGCCGGCTGGTCTTGGGCTTTTCCCATTGGGTGTGCTTTAGGTTGCCTCTTGAAACTGTTCCCCTGATATTTCTTTCTCCATGGCTGCTCTCACACCAGACGGAATTCATGCAATATAGGAGATACAGTATAGGACGCATCTGGGCGAGAGATAAGTGGGCAAAGGATTCCGCTATCTCTTCCAGAATAGGGATTCAAAGCTGTTATACTTACCTTACCTTCATTCCCACCATTGGGTGTGTACAGGCAGTCCCCGAGTTACATACATCTGCCTTACATCCGACTCCTACTTACAAGCGGAGGCTATTACTATACAGCAGGGGTAGTTGTAAAGCTACTGCGCTCATGCGGATGAGGAGTGCCCGCCATTTTGGGTCTGGTTCGTAGTACAGTACGTACCTTACAGGAAGTTGGCTCTTGTTAGACGTGCAGATGAGGGGTGTCAGCCTCTTCGTCCGCGTCATTGAGGTTTTTACTGCGGTCTGTATCCTCATTAGAAAGATTTAATCTTACTTCCTGTCCTTGAGACAACAGGAAGTGAGAGGAAATCTACCCCTAGAGAGGGAAATTTACTTCTGTAAGACTGATCATGGGAAAAAGACATCTCCAGCTTTATCACCAATCCTTGTTTCCACGACAACTCAAAATGTTCAAAATCCAATTGTCACAGGCACAGAAAGTGAGGTGAAATCTTCTGAACGGGCACACAAAGCAAATCAAACTTTACAGGGGGTAAACCCTTCCCTATGCCAGCAGTCGCCAACCGGTGGTCCGCGAGAAGATTTTGGTGGTCCCTGGGCCCCTCTGATGCTGTGCAGGCTGGGCCGTCATTCAAGCGGCACGGAGGCTCCTGGGCTGCCTCTCGCTGACTCAAGGAATGCGTGGCTCTCTCAGTACAGGAGGCGGGGCATCTCGTCAGTACCTGGACTGAGCAAGCTGCGGGACATAGAAAAAATGGAGAGAAACCAGGTAATAGTGGCTCAGTGTGGGGGAAGGGTAGGCACTGGGGTGGTTGGGAGCAGTGGTGAAGCTAGGGTGGGGCATGTGCCCCAGGCAGGGTCAGTGGCAGATTCGATAGGGGGGGAAACAACTAATATTATTACTGGGGCGGCAATGCTCCCTCCCTCCACCAACACTGCCACTCCTGCAGGCACACCAGCACCTATGTATGTATGTATGTATGTATATATATATATATATATATATATATTGTATACACACACAGAGCAGCCACATTTGCTCATTACAAGCAGACCCAGCCACACGCCGATCCTCTTATCGCAATGAAAAGATCTGTCTAATTAAACTACAACCGGCTCTCTGCAATCCCTAATGAATTTAAACACCCACAATGCAGCTGGTAGCCAGAAATCATGTCATCTTTAATGAGGTGGTAAGTGACATGCTGGAGCTCAGAGCAGCATTTTTTTTATCCACAGCCACAGAGTATTTTGTTTGTTTTACTCAAACAATGTACTGTTATTTGGCAATGCTGTTTAATGTACACTGTGGTTTTAAATCTGAAAGAAAATACGATGCATACACAGAAAAATCAATCCAAAAATGTAGACGACTCTTTATAGCACAAATATATATCCGCCGGAGCGTCATCTGATCCCAGAAGGTGCAGGTAGTCAGGCCTAATATAAAAATGCATTATATGCAATGCTATGTAACAGTGTATGTGGTATCTAGTGTGTGCCATCACTATATCATTCTGTGGCCTCATGGGCTCTCCAGCCAGACTGCTGAATAGAAGCCCCAGGGCAGCTGGAACTTGTAGTCCCTCGCGCTGCGCAAACCTGTTTGATATAAAGATATTGTTATGCAAGCACAGATGTAATATGTTATGTCCTCCAGGCTGCACAGATCTGCTCACTATAATGTTATAAAACAGAAGTATATAACATGTCTATTGTATAATTAGCCTGGGATCTGTGACTTTTAGGCCTTGTTCACACCAAGCGCGTTCCAGGAGCAGAGGAGAGCAGTTACAGACCGGATCAAAACTGCGTCCAATGTATTCCAATGGTATTTTGGGCTCTAGTTAACACCGCAGCGTTCAGTTCCAGAGCATGTAAAAAAAACTGCAGCAAGCCCTATTTTACCTGCTCTGGAACGCATGCAAACTCATCAAAAACGCATGCAAATGCCCTGGAAAGCACTGAAAGCCATTTCTAAACTAAAAACGGCCCGGAACGCATTAAAAACGCGGCACAACCCACTGCACTGCATGTGCACCAACTCATGCAGATCTGGTCTGCATTTGGTGTGAACAAGCCCTAAGGGCTTCACACCGTGCGTTCCGGGCTTTTCCCCATAGTTTTCCTTAGGGTAACGGGAGGACACAAACTAGCGTCCTTCCGTCACCCTAGGCTCAGTATACCGTGAGCTGCTGCTCGCGGTATACTGAGACGCCGCAGCGGATCCCAACAATTGTGCCTGGATCCGCCCAACTGCGTGACTGACAGCTGGCTCTGCCTATCTAGAGGCAGAGCCAGCTGTACCCTCCCCTGTCCATTCTGCCAGTCAGCGCTGGAGGATCGGGGAGGGGGGAATCCAGCCCCTCCCCCTGTCACGGCAGAGAGCCGTGACAGGATCTAGAGGTGAGCGAACGCCGGTATGTGTTCGCTCACCTCCCGATCTACTGAGCCGATCTGTGACAGTCTCACTGTCACAGGTCGGCTAGAACTATGAGGTGAGTGGAAAGCACTCACCTCATAGTTCTCCTTTAAAATGGGCTTTCATTGCGTTCCAGGGCGTTTGCATGCGTTTTTGATGTGTTTGCATGCATTCCAGAGCAGGTAAAATAGGGCTTGCTGCAGTTTTTTTTACATACTCTGGAACTAAACGCTGCGGTGTGAACTAGAGCCCAAAATACTATTGGAATACATTGGACGCTGTTTTGATCCGGTCTGCAACTGCTCTGCTCCTGGAACGCGCTTGGTGTGAACACGGCCTAAAAGCTCAATAGACAGAATGCCCAGCACAGCTGGCACTTGTAGTCCCCCAGGCTGTACAGATATAGTCACTGTAATGCTATATAACAGCAGTATATGTGATATGTCTGTATTACAATCAGCCTGAGATTTGTGACCTGGGAATCTATCAGCTGAGCATACAGGATCCCGGTATAGCTGGCACCTGTAGTCCCCCCAGGTTGTACAGATCTGCTCACTCTGATATAACTGTAGATGTGCTGTGTCTGTAGTACCATCAGCCTGATATATGTGACCTGGGGCTCTATAGACTCAGCAGACAGGATGCCAGTGTTTTTAGACCCCCCAGGTTATATAGGTCTGCTCACTATAATGCTATATAGCAGCAGTAGATGTAATATGTCTGGAATACAATTGGCCTGCGATCTGCCACCGGTGAATCTATAAGCTGAGCAGACAGGATCCCAGTGCAGCTGGCACTTGTAGTCCCCCAGATTGTACAGATCTGCTCACTATGCTATATAACAGCAGTAGATACAATATGTCTGTAATACAATTGGCCTATGATCTGCCACCTGTGATCTATAAGCTGAGCAGACAGGATCCCAGTACATCTGGCACTTGTAGTCCCCCAGATTGTACAGATCTGCTCACAATGCTATATAACAGCAGTAGATGCAATATGTCTGTAATACAATCTGCCTGAGGTCTGTGAGCTGGGACTCTATGCCCGAGCAGACAGGATCCCCAGTACATCTGGCACTTGTAGTCCCCCTCAGGCTGTAGAGCTCAGCAGCATGTGATTGCTCCATAGAGTCAGCCTCCAGCCCTGCCGCTTCCATCCTCCCTCTTCCAATCTCCTCCTTCTCCTTGCTGTGCTGTCTCCTGCTGACGTGTCTGCCTCTCTCTGCTCATGCTCCTTCCAGTCCATGCACAGGACACTGACACCCTACAACTGACATGGCTGCAGCCGGTCCGCACATCTACCTGCTGCTCCTGATATGGCAGCTCGTCCCCGGCGGTGGCAGCGCAGCCCAGGAGCGAACCTTCTCCGACACCAAGCGCTGCGCGGACCCGGAGTGTAGCAGTGAGTGCAGCACTTTGCCCCTATGGAGGGGGGAGCTGGGACTTGTGAGGGGAGGAGGGGGTAGCAGGGACTAGGGGGGAGTTCAGAGTGCACACAAGACCCCTCCTTCCGCTTACATGGTCACTCTGTACTTCTATGTTACATTTTGACTTCCTTCCCCCTGTTTGTGTTACACTTTATCAGTTTATTGTTGTTCTCTCACTTCTTCCATACTGCCTGCAGACATTCCATTCCCTGGCCCAGGTCATTGGGGTGGTTTGTTTATGGCTGTGCTGACAAGCACCCAGGATGACTTCTACAAACCACCAGCATTAGTGCAGATGACCTCCCCCCCACATTGGCTTTCCTCTTCTTTATTTTGTAATACAAGGAGTTGGATTGGTTATCATCAACAGTTCAACTATAGCTCCAGTACTGGTAAAGCGAACTGCTCGTGTTCCTTTTACCTCCAATCGTCTGTACTTTCAGGAGTGGTCCCTGGTTTCTTCACAACTTACCAAAACTTCTTCTTTTTATTTTGGAACATTGCAATCATTTCCCTTTGTTGTTGTAAACATGACGGTCACGTTTTATTTCTCCGAGCCATGTAGCAATATTTCTGTGTTATCTTTTTATTGCCATTATCTAAAAAGTAGCATCTGTAATCCAGGTTAGTAGGGATGAAGGGATCGGCCCGGGTTCAGCCTGAATAGTTTGCAAAGTTCATGAACTTTGCGGTGAACCCCAATGGGGTCTATGGTAATGGAAAAGGGGGGGCAGCGCATCTTGTTGTTCGATTCTGCCCATTTGTTGGGATAATGTCCTTCCTCTTCTTCTTGAATTGTTTTGTAACTGCACTGTCCCCCTTTTTTTTTGTAGCGCGCACAAAGCGTTTTGTAAAGCTGGTGGCACTTTATAAATTACTGTTATTATTCAGGATTTATATAGCGCTTTACAATATAAGGAAGACATTACAATCACAATACAATGCAAGACAAGATGGTAAGGAGGGCCCTGCCCCTGAGGGCCAACAATCTAAAAGGGAGGGGCCAGTGATACATGAGGAGGTAGCTGTGTGGGGATAAATTGTATGAGAACGTGATGGTTGAGTGGTTAGGTTGAGGTGGGATAGGCTTCGCTGAAGAGATGAGTCTTAAGGGATCGCCTAAAGGCAGTCAGAGTGGGAGATAGACAGACAGGTTTGGGTACAGAGTTCCATAGGATGGGAGAGACTCTAGTGAAGTCATGGAGGCGAGCATTGGAGGAGTTGATGAGGGAGCTGGAAAGCAGAAGAGCGGAGGGGGCGGTTAGGGTGATACTTTAAGACAAGCTTTGAGATATAGCCGGGGCGCAGTTCTGGAAGGCTTTGTAAGTGGTTGTTAATATTTTGAATTGTATCATTTGGGCTATTGGAAGCCAGTGTAGGGATCGGCAGCGGGGGGTTGCAGATGCTGTATAATAATATATTGCATGATGGAACTGTAGCACACTGCGGTCCTCCAGACCATTTTTTTATGGTATTGTAACTTTATCTATGTCACTTTATGTATTGCTGACATATTCTGGAGCACTAAAGGGAACACTGAATCATTTATATCAGTCCCTTCCTCTATAGGACCTTCATATCTAATTCCCCATTTACAGTCACACGCATATACAGTACATAGTAGGACGAGTTTGGATAGAAGTCAATTAACCTACTTGTAATTTTTGGGATTGTGGTGTTAGGGGTTTGCTTAAAGTGAATCTGTGCTTTGCAAATACAGGGCAAAGTAACAGGGTCACTTAAATGGGGACCCCACCAGCAGCGGAAATCCCTATCAATTCTCTGTTCACTGCCTCTCCTTTCTTCTATATGACAGCGCTGGTGGCTGGCGTGTGACCACTCAGGCACACAGCATTGTCATATGGGGCAGGAAGAAAATCCTCATTCCTATGCGACATTAAAATGAAGTTTAAGGTCAGGGGGTTAGTGGATATGGTTCTACGTTTAATGGGGTTGGGTTTTACAGGATAGTTATCATGGTGAGGTTAAGTGTCTACTTATGTAGATTTTCGGGGGAAGGTTGAGGAGGAGGTTAAGTTTTATTGGGCCCATTCACATGTAGGTGCGAGCAAACGTTAAAACGCACTAAACTGCAGTGCATAGGGATAATGTAAGTGGAGGGTTCAGTAAGAGGTATAGACTAAGGTCATTGTGTTTGTAGGTCCTGTGAGGAATCAGATCCACCTTGGGTATACCCACAAAGGCTGGGCAGATATATAAACTCCATACAAGAAGGGGATACCAGAGTTATGAGGCAAGATAGCAAATCACTCTGGCCACCATGCTGGTGGAACTCAGGGTACGGATACAGGTGGTCTGGAAGAGCGGCCAGGGCTCTTTATCCTGTAGTGTCGGAACCTTCAGCGGATCTCCTGAATGCTGCTTATAGGGCTCAATGAGCTCCATGTATCCAGTACAATGTTCAAGCGCCAAACCCAGCACAATGCACAGAATAGAACTTGGCTGCATCTATATTCATTGCTTTGTGTGGCCTGTTCACATGAGTTTCAGGTCCAGATCAGGTGTAGATTCAGCAGACGCGGTGCTATGTGTTTTGCCGCGTTTTTGATGCGTTCTAGTTTTTTTTTTAATACAATTTTTTTTTTCTGGAGTGGGGCTGTCAGTATGTTAGCTGCAGTACGTTTTTGACACGTTTTTGATGCGTTTTGCGTTTCCGGACCGTTTCCTGACCGTACACAATGTGACATGCAGTATTTTTCTGTCGTAACCTGGACGGACTGCGCACATGAGAACTGTAGCCCATAAAACACGTAGGGATACATTGGGATGCATTTTTAGTGCAGGAGCGTACGGATCAGGTCAGCACACAAAACGGACGTCGTGTGAACAGGCCCTCAAGGTGATGTATGTCTGATGTGTTGCTCATTGGGTTCAGTGAATCACAAGGACAAAATGAATCTCATGCTGCTGACTTCTTTATTGCAGTCATTTGCACGGGATTGAATGAATTGTGTTGCAAATGAGGAGATTGCCACCAAGGGGTTTAACATTAGCGGAAACCTGCCGGGGCAGAAATGTACAAACTCTGGGATGTCATCCTTATCCTTGCCACGCTGCCTAGTAGGTATCTGTGACTTGGAACAACCATGTAAGCTCTCAGGGGCAGGGCCCTCCTCTCCATATTGTATTGTAACTGTAATGTCTTCCATATACTGTAAATCGCTGCACAAATTGTTGGCGCTATATAAATCCTGAATAATAATAATAATAATAATGCAGCCATTGAAGTGTGGGGGACACCTAATATACACGTTACAAGTCAGTGACTCTTCAATCAGGATGAGGATGACATCTTGGAGCCTACGCCTTCAAAAATAATTTGCAGTAGTGCATGTCAAGCTGTGGCTCCATTAGATTCTTCTCACTTCCTGTCTTGTTGACAATGTTTAACTAAGCAAGCTGTGAGGAGAAAGCTCCAACAGCCAGCAGGACACATATAAATCCTTATCTTAGTTGAGTGTGGGAAGGATAGAACCCCTTACAGATTTCCATTTCTCTGCGTTCTTGTTGCAGATTTTAACTCACTTCCTGCCTGGTAAAACATTTTCAGCAGAACAGGAAATGACGGAAGTTAAGTAAAAACCTGACTTTTGGCTTGACATGCACTTCAGCAAGTTCCTTCTAAAATCAATATATGGAAAACCTTGGAGATGATGTAAAAAAAAAATATGTACACACACACACACACACACACACACACACAGTCACTCTTCGGCCAAGAATTTGCCCTCTGGACTCTTAGATTTTCAGATTGAAGAATGTTGGGCTGAAGGCTACCGACAGAGCCACCCACTGGAGGGAATTTCCAAGAACTGGATGAAACTTTCTCTGGGTATGGCCAGCTTTCAGTTGTCTGAACCAGAAGAAACACTCGATTTCCCCATCCACACTGTTCAGCGTCCAATGCCGGATATTGTGTTCTGACATCCTGCACCCGAGGCTGTCAGAATAACCAAATATGCGGTCACTGTTCGGCCAGCTCAGCTAGTTCAACAAAAGTCGACTGAAAAATAGTGCTGGCGGGGCCACATACTGTTCAAATTTTGACAGGAAAACTAAGCCAAGGAATGTATGGCCGGCTTTACCAAGCGGTCATCTGGTGCTCCTTTGTCACTGGCTCTGAGCCATTGTAAATAGAAGGAATGGTGGGGGTGGCTGCATTGTGCAGTGGGGGCAGGTGAAGAATCTTCCATTGTGTACATTGCACTCTCCCAGCTGTTCCTTCTCCTTTCTCCTCGTAATGTCATTTAAAGGGAATCTACAGTCTCTTTGAAGCTTTAGATATGTGATTAGCATAAGTCATATTATTCATATTCAGGATTTATATAGCGTTTGTGCAGCGTTTTACAATATAAGGAAGTTATTTTATTGTTTATCCGATTAACCGACTAATCGAGCCTAATAATCAGCTAACTAATCGATTTTGAAAATAATCGTTAGCTGCAGCTCTACATGACAGTTATAATACAAATCAAGACAAGCTGGTAAGGAGGGCCCTGTTCTTTTTATTGCCTTTTGTTTTGTTATTTTAACTTCTCTGTAATTTGTAATTATGTATGTATTATGTACAAGTAGCACACAGATTAGCTCCTGACATATGCAAACTACATATGCTTCTTCCTTTCATTCACAGTTGTGTTGGCTGCTGTGCAATAATACACAACAAGAAGAATCCCATTATTTTCTATAGGGCCCATTTACACCTATGTGTTGCGCTGCTGTGCGACCTAGATAACGGTGCAGGGGATTCTTTTGATGCTACAGAGTGTATTTTTGGCTCCTTAGACTTCATGAGTGCATGAAAAAGATGTGCATGTAGTTAAGTTCATTCTCGGAGCAGTTTTGTACTATACAACCCTTGTCCTCCTCCTAGCAACATCAGTATTGCAACATAAGCAACAGCAGGTATTGCTTGCCATTGGCAAAAAAAAACCACACATGAAGCATCACAATGCATGAAAATTGTACATCAGTGCACAAATAAAAAAATAAAATATATAAACATGCGAATGAATGAAAACTAACTGTCCCACACTTTCAGTGCAAGTCTCCTCAGACTCTCAGAAAATAGTACAGTGCCTAAATGTATTTGGTTTTATCTCAGCAGTCAGGGTGTTGATGGCACTTGCCTTGAGCTGGTCATACATTATGCAAATTTGAGCCAGTTCTTCAGGAACCGGCCGAATTTCACACAGAGGGTACCGCTGTCGGCACCATCCCAGCCAGCATCCCTCGTTCACTTGATCGAAGGAGCCGTTTAGAAGATCTCTGAAGGAACAGAGCCAGCAGCCAGTCAGGTGCCGCCTCTGTTCGGGTATTCTGACAGCAGCCACTGGCTGGTGTCAGAATACAAAGGAAACAGCGGGGGATTCCTCCATCAACGCTCATAAGTGTTGATGGAGGAATATGTTCTATTTTTTTTTTTTTTTTGTCAGCCCACAGGTTGAACAAAAAAATAGAACCGTGTCTGGCCAGCTTTAAATACAGCGACATAATCTATAGATCTGTGTATATACAATACAGTCTTCAAAATACAGAACAGTTAATTGGTAAAGATATGGAAATCAGATTAAATAACATACATAAGGCCAAACCTTTTTATTTATTTTTTTGGTTTTGTTATTTTTTCCTTATGGTGTCCTGAGACACTTTAACGCACTTGTGTGAAGTGGCGCCATAGGACATACACCAAATTGCCTTGTTCTTACATTGGGCAACAGTGCCAAAACCAGCCCAACACTGCCCGTGTGAATGAGCCCTCATTTGACAATAAAATTGGCATCTGTTTTGTAAACAACAACTTTATTATTTTGGATTGAAGCTGGCCATATACGGCTCAAATTTTGGTAAATTCCTGTCAATTGGCTCAAATCTGAGCCATGGGTGGCCCCGCTGGCACAACTCAACTTAAAGTGGAGCCGGGTGGAAAAAAGTAATCTGAACAGTTCTGCAGCTAAGCAGCAGAAGTCACTGTTCAGGTATTCTGACAGTTGTGGGCTCTGGCAGTCAGAATAAAATATCTGGTAGGGGAGATCCCTCCATCCATGATAGGGGAATCAAGTGATTCTTTACATGTATGGCCGGATTTACTCTTCTTTCAATAACCAATATGAAATGTGAATTTGTTGGTTTTCAGTTTTTTGATGATTCTGGTCATGTGATGTCATCCAGCTGATGTGGCTTTGGATGGTTGTCGTAGTATGACTGTCCTTTGTGCTTTCTCAGGAGGATATGGATGGGGAAGTAGGCTGGTGCTCCTTTCTTTCATTGATTTTGGTTCTACTTGTTAAAGTATTTCTAAAACCAAAACTTGTTTTCTAATGTTCCCTTTGGGAGGTTTCTCCTCTATTCCGTTACTAGTGACAACTCTTAAAAATTTGGGTTGTTTATCACTTTCTGTCCCCATGACAATGGCCTCCAGGACTAACAGAGGTGGTGGAGGGGGGACACACAGCAGTAAGATGCAGACAGACATTCCAGCCCGTCCCTACTATATGCAGAATTATGCAATTTGTATACGCAGTACATGTGGACTTTTATTAACATGTTTAATATTCTTTTATATAATATAGTATATTTAGTGTGTGTATATATAATATACTTTTAGTAACATGTTTCTGCTTTCCTTCTGCAGAGTTGATGTGCAGGGGTAAAGCCATTGCGGATTTCACGGGTCCAGACTGCCGCTTTGTGAATTTAAAAAAGGACGATTTAGTATATGTTTACTATAAACTGACGGGGCGGTCAAGTGAACTTTGGGCGGGAAGTGTAAGTAAACCTTGCATGTTTTGTCCATTTCCAATGTTAAACGTTTCTTACACACGACTGTTTTCCATGAAAAATGCACCTCGCTAAGACAGGACAGGAGAGTAAAGTGTATGTGTAGCCCAACACTTAATTTTTGGGGGGGTTTGAAAAGTGTAGTTAATGGTTAAACCCGTCATTTATTTTAATTTTTTTGCTGTGCTCCGTTGGAAACCGTTTCCCTTTACTTCCTGTCCTGGAGACGGAACAGGAAGCAAGACAATATCTCTACAGAGCAACAGGAATTTCCTCCCAGGCAGTTTTTATGACAGAATCTTAATAATACAGCAATACAATAAGAAACAAGTCCTAGTGGTTGATTTGAAGCAGAAAGGGCATAAATTGACCGGGTTAGTGGCATAAACATCGGTGATGAGGGGCTACAATCTTCAGGCTATAGGTAGGATAAGGATCAGACGAACGTACACAAATAGCCTATCAATCTTCACAGAACATAGAGTATAAACAGAGTCCTGGATCTCGGAAAAAATAAACCACTGTATTCGGATTGGAAGAAGGAGAGAGAAAGAAGGAGAAGATAAAAGAGAGAACTGAAAAATCCAGAAGAGGAAAGAAGGAGGGAAAAGTTGGGTCGGGGGGATTGACTTAGGTTCAGAGATGCGTTATCTGTAGGAGGTTGTGATGAGAGACGGTCTAGAGAAGTGGTAATGTTACTAAATCGGCTTACACAGTGCTTTACATACTGCACATTCACATCAGTCTCTGCCCTCATGGAGCTTACAATCTAAGGTCCCCATCTCACATACACAATTTAGACAGAAGCCATTTAACCATCAGCATGTATTTTGGAGTGTGGGAGGAAACCAGAGTACCTGGAGGAAACCCACACAAGCACAGGAAGAAAACTCCTTGCAGATAGTGTCCTGACTGGGATTTGAACCGGGGGTCTCCAGTGCTGCAAGGCAGAAGCGCTAACCACTTCTGAAAAAAATCAGGATTTCCCATCACTTTTTGTCTGGTGACAATGGTCATAAAAACAACTAGAGAGAGGTCGGAATACCTGACGCTGATATTTTTCGGACCAGCTCCTTTAACAATATTCGAGTGAAAAATGGACTTCTGTTGGTTGAGAGGAAGAGGTGGGGTAGTGTTGGTGTAAGTGGGGTTCCTGATGTGGCCACATACTGCTCGAATTTTGGCTAAGTCAGCAGAACTTATTTAGTATTAAAGGTATTTATACAGCGCCAACAATTTACGCAGCACTTTACATAGTGCACATTCATATCAGTCCTTGCCCTCAAGGTGCTTACAATCTAAGGCCCCTATCTCACATGCAGATTTAGACAGGAGCCAATCAACCTTCCAGCATGTCTTTTGGGGATTGGGAGGAAACAGTGAAAGTCATCAATAAAAACCTGTTCTGTAACCTCTATTGTCTGTAAAAAAAGAAAGAATTAAAATAAAAACTGATAGGGGGGTCTAACCCTTCCCTACTCTATCCAAAACAAAAAGTGTAAGAAAATGAACTTACTGACAGTACCCCGCCACCTCTCCTGACCCCTACTGCACATACCTGTGGGATCCCCCTCCTGCCCGTGTACCCACACGGCCCCACAATATGTAATGAGCATAATGCTTGCAAATGGTGAGCGCTCATTGGTCAGCAGGGTCACATGACTATGTAAAAAGATTTAGGCAAGTGTACAAACCTGGCCGCGCACACAGCAATACGTGATCAGTTTACATATGAACAAAATCACAAACAAGCGATCTATCAACAATTACAATATCAAATAAATGTGAACGATCTATTTAAAATGATCACTATTTGTTCGATCGATCAGACGTGACCGACAAATTGATTGATTCTCAATCGATTCTGACTCAAGACAATTGATTGGAGGATCTTTGTGTTTCTTTTTTTTAAGTTAATAATTTGCATTGATCGATTTTAATATAGTCGGATTGAATGATCGATTGTATGATCATATTGGTACTTGTCTGGCCACCTTTAGTCAGAGAATTGTAAAATTATCCGACACACACTGACGCTGCTAAATGAAGTCTGGGGATCTTCGGTTCAATGATCTCCGGTCATGAGGGGGTTAAGGGACTGCACCCTGGATTTCCTGTGTGTTCGGCAATTATCTCCACCTCACCCTCTGTAAATAAGCTGATGTGCCACGCTCACAGTGACTTTGTAATTAATGTAGACGTAAAAATTTTACAAGCTGGTTTCTGAACTGTTAGGGGACCCAAATAATATATTACAATGTATAATACTCCCAATGTTACCTAAATGTATAAATAACACCAACATCCTTATTATTGTAACAACCGAATATCCAGAAGAGGAAACATGGCACTTTTCTGGTATCCGGATCTGTAACTCACTAAGTAGTGAAGCCATAGGATGAGCATGCCAGCCAGGGAACTAGCAAGTGATTACAGAAGAATTGTACTTTTGCAGAATCATATTTTATGCCCCCCCACCTTTGCTGCAAACTCTGTGGCTGCATCCTTACTGCTCATGTGCAGAACATTCCTGCCGATCCCTATGGAGAGGTTGTCTAGCATTGGGGTGCATAATCGACCGCCTCCCCGTAGAAATGCATTGGGCTGAGCCTGTGCGTCTCCCTGTGCGTCATACAGTGTGCACAGGTGAGTACAAACTTTTGGGCAGGTGCTGTGGTGGGGGGAGGGGAAGTAGTATCATATAACTATGCAAATGTTTTTTTGTTTATAGTGTAATAAACCTCTGTAAGCAGGGAAGGATCCCCAGTGGGAAACTTTTTGTCTGAACAGTGACTGCAGCCAGTCAGCTGCCATCACAGGTACTCGGCTGTCAGAATACAATAGCCAGCAAAGGAGACACCTCTATTCATGGATGGGGATACCGAAAGATTTCTCTTGTTCAGCCCACAGGAATTTTTCCTACTGGGGCAATCGCAATACACTTAGTAGGCATCAGGAACGCACCGAGTGCTTCCTATTGTCACCATCAGGTTTACATATGACAGTGTGAAGGTTTTTCAGAAATACAAGGCACCTGCTCCTTTGCACCCTTTTTCCTGTTATTGATGGGAGTTGAACCTTTATATACTGATGTACTGTGTGCTAGTTAATCATCTTGTTGTCCACATTAAGAACCTTCAGCTTATGGTGACAACGCTGATGCTGCATGTAGACCTTAAAGGCAGCATTGTCACCCTATTGCAGGAAATGGCTGGGGAAATTCTGACTCTTTCCCGCTCTATGCCAGTTTTGGCTGCTGTTGGGTTGTAAATACATGTTCCTTTTGAAAGGAGATTGCATGCTCAGGCAGTTAAGAAGACGTTAGCAGCTATCAGAACACACTGAGTGCTCCCGGCTGGCACTGCTCCATCTGCGATCTGCAAGTTCGTCTCAATCCCCAGACCTGCAGATGTGTGAAATCTGTCCAGAAGCGTGCGTGGGAAAATCTGTGAGCCGTGCATGCGGTGGGTATGATAGTATGAAGGTCAGTGATTGCAATGCTGCAGAATGTACGCAGCGTGTCATATTATTAGCTGGTGATCCAATGAATATCTGCAGTATGAAAGCTTAATCTCTTTCCTTTATGAGAGGCGTTTATGTTTATGTTGTACTGCAGAGTCTCTGGGGAGCCTTATTTTTAGCTGTTGGTGCCCGGCTCCTGTGGCATGATGGTATGAGAGGTAATGAGTGCCAGGCAGTTTCATAGCACTTCCTGCAAGACTGCTTCGGGGTCATTTAACAAGGAAGTGCAAAGTGCCGCTGATCCTCACAACCAATCAGGTTAAAGTATACCTGCTGTGAGACTGAGGCTCCATTCACACCCAAGCATAGCGTGACCGTGCATTGCATTCGCGGACCTCCATGTGCGTTTGTCTAATTTATTTTCCGCAAAAGCGGTAAAGAAATGCAGGTAGCAAAATCTTTGCAGTTTTTTCCTATGCGTTTTGTGTGTAGGTGCGAATGGAGCCTTAACCTCAGCCTCCATGCACACCTGAGCGTCTCCTTAAAGAGGGCCAAGCATGCAAAAAATGCAGCTTTGACGCACGTTGGAAAATTGCACAAAATAGAAGAAACGCACTTACAGTGCCACTATTATTAATGGAACCCAGGAGCGGCGAGGAAGGTGTGTGTTTTCCCTCCACTTTTGTGCTCGTTAAAACGTGTACAATCGATAATACGATATCACCTGCACTCCATACAGCGTACAGGCCTTGTTGAAAGGTTGGTGCTTGAAGTGACAACACGGATGACTATGTCGCCCAGAAGAAGGGACCCTGCGTGGCCCCGAAACGTTGGCTGTATGACGCATGTGACAATTTAATAAAAAGTGCTTTACTTCTTGCACATATCATCGAGTGCTGGGGACTTCTATTATTAAAACGCGTACAAACGCAGAGGGAAAAAAGCCGTAAGTGCATGTCGCAGATTTTGCTACATGCACTTCTTTTTCCCGTTTGCCGCATGTCCAGGACCCCATTGAAATGGGAAATGAGATGCTCACAAAAGCATGAATGCTATGCGCAGGTGTGAATGGAGCCTCCTATGCTAGCCACCTGGTTGTTCTGTTCACAGCTTAACTTCAGTACTTTCAGTCCCTGTCCCAGGACATGTGTGTGGATCTCAAAGATGGAGAAAAGTCCTTTTCCAGCGATTCAGAGTATTGAAGGCAGAGGGCAAACATGACAGCCTGGCTGTTTATAAACGGCACTTCAGAATACAGTCCGGTGGCCAGTACGCCCATAGACGGCTGGGATCTGAGCTGTCTAATCACATTCGGGATGTACAGAGCCAGTCAGAGTGGCTTGTACCTTGTGATTTCTGTAAACCAATCACAGAATGTCTGTTATGTCTGGAAACCCTGGTGGGAAGGTGGATCAGCAGATCGAAGGTGAAGGTGGGCGTGTGTGGGGGATCTTAAAGTGTCGCTGACTAATCATTGTGGGGTCTTTTTTTTTTTTATTGGGGGGTTTGAATTAAAAGGTGGTAGTAGGGGATGGAGGGTTGATTAAAGTGCCTTTGACCAGCAGTGATATTAGGATTTCTTTGGAGTTGTTTAAAGTGCCACTGACCACCAATAACTGTGGGATTGTTTATAATCTTGGCATTAGGGGTTGGGGTTAAAAAAAAAGTACCACTGACCACCAATGTTTGTGGGATTTTTATTTTTTTAAGTGCCTCTAACCACCAGTAATTGTGTGATTGTGAGTGTGAAGGACACCGCCTGGTCTAAGGGTGAAAGGAGCTGTGTGATGGACTTGTACCCAGGTTGTTCACAGGGTGAGAGGCGGCGGCAAATATACTAAGCTAATTGAGTGTGGTGGGTTTCTATAAAGGCAATTAATGATTGGTCCTCTTTGCTTGGTATCTTTACTAAGAGGAATATTTAGGCTTCCATTGCTGAATTCTCTTGAATGTCTGTCTCTGGAACATGCATGAAACTACTAAAGTTTGAGCTCCTGATCCGCATACTTGTTCTGGGTCAGTGACAACCAGGCATCTAGAAAATGAGCTAAGCAGTGCCAGCCTATATTTTGCTCTCTGTACCGGTTTCCTTTAAGTAACCATTAGAGTGGTGGAATATCCATATCTGGTAAAGTTTACAAAGCAAATAATCGGGCACGAGAAACACGTACTTAGTTAGCATGGATGACCTTCCATGCCCCATTATAAATCATCATAATGTTATGTTACTGCTGCATGAATCAGTCACAGAGGTGTATTCCGTGAAAGAATAGCATTAGCGGTATAGTGCTAGAAGCGTACGCAGTGTTCTGCATGAGGCCATTTATTTATTGTACTTGTATCTGTGGTGGGTAAAAGAGCTTCTGGAGCTTTGAAAATCATAAAGTAGTCATTAGCTATTTCAAGTCTATCCGCCCCTGCCCAGACTGGTCCAATGACTCTCTGGTATTTGATAGGTAATTGACTCTTTCATGGTTTAATAATTTGTAATTTAAAAACTGTTCACTTACTTTCCAAGGTGAAGGAAGATAAATGTTTTTTAGTAGAGGTGCACCGAAATGAAAATGTTAAAACCGAAACAAAATCAAAATGAAAAAAAATGTCGGGCCGAAAGCAAAAAAATTTTTTTTCTAACTTATAAACTTTTAAAAATGTTTTACATTTTATTTTTATTAAATATTTGTATTTGTTACTTTACTTTTAGATGCTTCGGGGATATATTAGGGGTCTAAACAGACCCCTGATATTTCCCTTTTTAAACTAGAAACATAGATTAAGAACATAGAGTCCTCAATTTCTTTTCAGCCCCTGTTATAAATGAACAGGAATCCTCTGAGTGTTCTGTTCACTCATAACATGAGTCAGGGGTAGGCAACCTTGGCACTCCAGCTGTTGTGGAACTACAAGTCCCATGAGACATTGCAAGACTCCACCACTGGAGTGCCAAGGTTGAACCCTGGTAAACTTTCGTCTCTTCTATATTTTTTTAGGCAGATGTCCACCTCTCGAGTTACCTACACCCCCCTCCACCTACCCCCCCCATTCTAGAGAATGCATGTGACAGGTTCACTTAGCTAAACCCCAAAACGAAAATGGAATGTATTGCACCTTTCCAATCCTTAGATGTTGTGGCTACATTAGTTTTCTTTCTGTCAGGCTTTTTTTTTTTCCTGTTGATCCTGCCAGTAACACAGTTCCTGTCCTAAAGTGGTAATGGCAATTTCTCCTCTTCTCCATAATTTAGAAGGGCAGGGTTCTGTAGTCCGCAGAGATAACTGGGAACAATGTAACTGATGTTGAGTGCAGCACAGGAAATTATCAGCTGACCTAACGTCTGCAAGGATCAACAGGTTTTTTGTTTTTTTTGCACTAATTGAACAGAAATAACAAATCACTTTTAATGGTATATTTAGCACACTAAAAGAGATCAAATAAGAGAAGTTATTTGAAAAGAGCTCCATAGACTCTGCGCTCCATTCTAACTTCTGCTGCATCAGTCCGTTTTCTTGGTGCAGGCTATAGTGCGCTTCCCACTTGTTCAGATAAATCTTCAAAAGATCAGCCGCAGAGGTCTATGATTAAGCCCAGGTGGTGAAACGCGTGAGGGGCGTTAGCATGGTGTGGGAGATGTTCATGGTGATGTACAAGCTGTTCATTGTGATTTTACTTTTTGGAACCTGTTTGGATTACTTTAATACATTTTGGATCACATTTATTTTGGTTTTGTGCGGCTGATCTTTTGAAGATAATTTTTTTGTTAAGGTTTTTTTCATGCATCGGGTGGATGACCAATAATTCTGGTTGTGTGGTTTAGGAGATTAGATCATTTGCACATTAATATCCCTACAGGGCTCAGAAATTGAGAAACATTCACACATACCGCAAGCGGAAATGTGTGTCACGGTAATAGAGGTTGTTGTGTAACAAAGTGAAGGGAATGTATCAAAACTGGAGCAGGCAGTCTCTGGAGCAGCTGTGCATGGCAACCAATCAGCTTCTGTCTTTCATTTTCAACCCTTAACTGCACAAACTGAAGAGAGAAGCTGATTGGTTGCAGTGCACAGCTGCTCCAGATTTTGTCTGCTCCAGTTATGATAAATTCCCCCCAGTGTGTATGCAAGAATGTCTACCATTTAAAAGCATTGCTTTCTGCATTACACTAAACTTTGTATTGGAAAATTCAGAGTACTCCATCCAGTGTGTGTTTATTAATGGAGTCATCTGAGAGAACATTTTCTTTGTGGGGTTTTGTTTTGGGGGGTTATTAATATACAGGTGAAACTCGAATAATTAGAATATCGTGCAAAGTTCATTTATTTCACTAATGCAACTTAAAAGGTGAAACTAATATATGAGATAGACTCATTACATGCAAAGCAAGATAATTCAAGCCGTGATTTGTCATAATTGTGATGATTATGGCTTACAGCTCATGAAAACCCCAAGAACCCCAAATCCACAACCTCAAAAAAGTAGATTATTACATGCAATCAATAAAACAAGGATTGTACATATAACAATATCGGACCTCTGCAAAGTACAAGCATGCACATGTACTCAGTACTTGGTTTGGGCCCCTTTTGCAGCACTTACTGCAATTACTTTTGCACGATATTCTAATTATTCGAGTTTCACCTGTATCAGTTGATACTAAAAAAAATTATAGGCAAAGTGGAAAAATTAACTGTTCTTTTGATCTTTTTGCAGGTTAACTCAGGTTTTGGATATTTTCCAAAGGATTTAATAGACATACAACAAGGTTACACGACAGATGAATTGGAGTTCCCTACAGACGTAAGTCTTCATATTGGGTACTAAAATTAAAAAAAGGTGATGAGCCTATAGCAAAGTAACTAGAGGTGCACCGAAATGGAAATTTTAAAACCGAAATGAAAGCGAAATAAAAAAAATTGTCAGACTGATACCGAAAATGTTTTTTATTCTAATTTTTTCTAATTTTTCAAATATTTTATTTTTTATTTATTTTTTAAAAACGTTTTAATTGTTTTATATTTATTTTTATTCATTTTTTTATTAAATATTTTTATTTTTTACATTACTTTTAGAGGCTTTGGGTAAATACTGGGGGTCTAAACAGACCCCTGATATTTCCCTTTAAAATAGAAAAAGAGATTGGGAACACAGAGTCCTCAATCTCTTTTTCTGTATCCCCTGTTATCAATGAACAGGAATCTTCTATACTGAGTGTTCCTGTTCATTTATAACATGAGGACATTGTATGTTTACTATAACCACAATCATAAATGATCAGGAGGGGATGTAGATCACTCCCTATTCATATATTATTGAGGATATAGTTAACATACCATGTACTCAATTATCTATAAACACTCAGCGATCACTGATCGCTGAATGTGTGTACCTTGCTCTTCTCTCTGACACACTGTCACAGGAGGCTGAGTGAGCGGTGCAGGGAGTAGAGCTCAGCGTTCTGTGACAGCGTGGCCTGTCTCCGGCCACACACCGCTCTGCCATACTGTGATAGGCGGCTGAGCGTTGTGGGAGGAGATGCAGGCCGCTTACAGCGCTCTCCTCACGCAGCGCTCGGCCGGCTATCACAGTTTCTCTCCTCCCCGCTGGGACACAGAGCAGCGGAGAGGAAAGAAACCTGGGATGCGCCGATCTATCGGCAGGAAAATTGCACTTTCGGCATTATGCCAAAAGTGCCATTTTTGGCCGATATGTGGCGGCCGATATATCGGTGCATCCCTAAAAGTAACCCATAGCAACTGTCAGTAATCATTCTCAAATTGAATGAAAATCTGATTAGCAGCTGCTACGGGATACTGCGCACCGCTGATCTTCACGCTCCAGATTAAATATTCCCCATTGCTGATGCATTTTCAGGCTTCTTCCTTCCTTATTAATCACTAGGAATGAGCTTAGGTTCGGATTAAACCCGATCCAAACCTGAGTTCCTCCAAACCTGGCAGGGACATGGAGCCACCCATTTGTTCAGCTGTGGTCTGGTGGCTTTCCCCACCATATAGCTGCACATAAACAAAAGGGGTGGGATGCTTGTGCTGACATCATTTACTTTATATAGCCATATTAGGTCAATGTAATTCACCAGGTATAGCCATATACAGGGCTGGATTTACTATCTCTGCTGCCCCAAGGCCAGGTTCCTCAATGCGCCCCCCTGTATGCAGGCCGCATACAAGTGATCTCAGCGACATCGCCAAGAGCACTTGTACAAAACAAGCAGGGGCTTCCCTGCTCTACATTTAGCTCTACTTGCCCAACGCAGGGCTTAATGTAGAAAAGAACTTCCCGCCCGGCGCCCAGAACTGCATGTCCCGGGCGTCGGGAGATAAGAATTCCACACCCCTGCTGCCCCTCTACTCCCTGCTGCCCCAAGCCCAGGCCTCGGTTGGCCTTGTGGGAAATCCGGCCCTGGCCATATATAGCAGCAGCTGATCGGCGGCAGTGGAAGGCACTTCCTTCAGAGCTCAGGTTCGGACCTAACCTAATCTGAATCTTAGCTCATCCCTATCTATCGCAGCCTTATTCAGTGTTTTCCGCTGTAAACATATTGTCTAATATCTCTACCAAGGTTCACAAATATGGTTGCCAGATATCTGTGTGCTCAATGAATAACATTTGTGGGCACTCTGTGCTGCCATAAAAGCCTTGAAACAAAAGCATTTCTCAAATAGGGACACTTCTAGGTATAACTGAGAGAAAAGTTATTTTCCATTCGCTGTATAGAGATTTCCTCTCATTGCCTGTTGCATCCCTGGCGCAGAACTGGGAAACAGACGGCAAAAAATAAACTGGTTTTAATGTTTCCCTACACTATATATACATTTTAACTTTTATAATTGACTGGAGGTTCCATAATATGAGAGCACTTTACTAGTTGCAGTTCTTTAATAAAATAACTGTTTTAGGTTGCATTTGTCTTTATTTTCTTGTAATCTTGTTGCTGTTCATCTTTTTTGCAGTACACAGATTTTGTATGTTTTGATGACGGGTCAGACACGTTTGATAGCTATGACGTTAATGAACTTTTAAGCAAAGCCAAAATCAAATTATACAAGCAGACATCCCAAGACACTTCACTTCCTTTAGCAACTGAAACTCTACCCGTAGAACAGTCTGCTTCAGAATCTGAAGTAAAATCAGAAGAACCTTCTTCAAAATATGGCGAACCACCAGGGGAGTCCCCTCAATCCGAATCCGAAGAGCCAACAAAGGAGGCACCACCTTCAGAAGCTGAAGAATCACGAGAGAAGCCCTTACCCTCAGAAACTAAAGAACCACCGGAAAAAGCATCCTCTTTAGACTCTAGAAAACCATTGGAAGAACTGTCCAATGATGCAGGAGACCAAGCTGATTCTGAATTTAGTATACCTCAAGATAAGCCATCTGCTTCAGACTCTGGACCAACACCAGAGGAGCTACATTTGTCATCATCAGAAACATTACCAGCCCATTCACAGTCTGAAGTTGATAGTCCTCTTGGTGTCTCAGGGCCAGGAACAGAGCCAAGGGAAGTGTCTACTTCAGAATCTGATAAACATGCTGAAGAAGATCCTAGTTCAGACTCTGAAAAAACAGAAAGACAGCCACTATTTCCAGAGTCAGATAAGCCATCGGTGGAAGTACCTGCTTCAGCATCCCAAGAGCAGGTTACACCTTCTGAAAGACCAGAAAAGGAATCTGAGAGTGATCATAGAGAGGATGAACTCAAAAAAAGCAAAGATTCTCTTTTTGCAACAAATGATGCACATACAACCACTGTAAATAGCAAACCTAAAGATTCTCAGGAAGAAAGTGTTGTACATTCAGCAACAGAGGAAAATGCAAAAAGCAATTCACAAGTGCCAGATAGTGAAAAAGCCAATAATGTCAGCATCTCTCAGGGAGATTTTAAAGAAAACAAAAACATAGAATCTTTTACTCAGATTGACAAAGATAGGATTGTAAACTTAAAGACAGAAGCTGGTTTAACAGGCGACGCTGTGGTAACTGAAGATGAAGAGACCAGATATGTTACAATTGGAGGTGAAGACCAAAATGAAGATTTTAAACCTTATGAGCCACAAGAAGAAGAGGGTGTGGGAGAGCCAGAAGAAACACCTTTGTTATCTCATGAAGAATTTGATATGAAGTCATTGGATCAGACAGCTTTTGAGAATGATTCAGCTTCTAACACTGCATCAGAAGCAAAGACATCCCCATCCAAAGAGGAGGTCAAAGTTGCAGTTGACATGGGTCATGCAACACCGATAAAACAGGATAAGAGTATTCTGACATCATTGGGAGACACATTCTTTGCTATCGTCAGTGGAGGGGAACACACACAAGATGTTACTGATCCAGATGGAACTGATTCGGAAGAACAAGAAGATGATGATGAACCAAGTGAGGAGTTAGAAGACGATGAGACCTTGTACTTGCTTGGCATGGAGAAAAGCAACATGCATGAAAATGAACATTTAGAACCCCCTTTTGATGATGACACACTTGCTCTGAAAGAAGAAGAATTACAGGAAGGATTGTTAGCTGTCGATGGAGAAAAATCTTTAGAAAGTGAGCAAAAGATCAATATTACAGCTAACAACTTGACGGAAAATACAGTAAATATGTCTTCAGCTGATGGAACCCATCTTCCCACGAGTAGTGATGATTCTAAATCAGTACACATAGATCCAGATTTACAAGAGCAACCTGAAATCAAAAGTGTGAAAGAAACATCTGAATTAAAAACTGAGGCAGTGGACTCTGAGATTAGTGAAAAAACTGTTGAGAAAAGCCAAACACCCCCAAATGATGTGCCTTTGGAAGGTTCCAAAGTTAAAGAAACTGAGATAAAAATAAGTGGAGAAAATCAAGTAAATGTTGAACACAGGGATAAGCCAGTGCCAGAAGATTTGCAAAAAAACAAAGACATTAAATTGGAGGATGTAAGAGAGGGTTTATTAGAGCAAGAAGCATTAAAACAGGAAGATTCTGCAAATGAAGAATTGCCAAAGTTATCAGAGGAATCTAAGCTGGAAAATCCCAACATTGATCAAGACCAGACTAAAGAAATAAAACTGGACAAAGGTCCGCCATTGACCTCAGAGATTCCAGAAGATGTCAAATCAACAAGTGATTCAGTTACTGCCGGACATCCAGGATTGGTAGAAAATTCAAAGATTCAGTCTTCCGATCCATTAGTTGAAGAAACTGCTTCTCCAAAAGCAGGAGGCAATGAAGAAAAAGAAAACCTAGAAGATAGAAAACCTGTAGATGAACAACCATTCAAAATACTACCAATTGTAGAGGATGTTCTAGCGCAAGAAAGCAGCAAAGAAAACATAGAAGATAGAAAACCTGTAGACGAACAACCATTAAAAATACTACCAATTGTAGAGGATGTTCTAGCGCAAGAAAGCAGCGAAGAAAAAGAAAACATAGAAGATAGAAAACCTGTAGACGAACAACCATTAAAAATACTACCAATTGTAGAGAATGTTCTAGCACAAGAAAGCAGTACTGTTGATACATCTCTTGAGACAAGTAATAACAACCAAGACACAGAACATGAGCAGCTTGAGTCAAGAGACCACAAGCAGAAACAAGAGTCAAAAGATATTGATAGTTTAGACAGTTTTAAGGGGGCGTCAACAGAGTCCACTGTAAGTAATCAGAGTCTTGAAGTAAAAACTGCTTCAGATATTGAGAGTCCCCCAGTATTTGTTGATAAAGAAGAAAGAGAAGAACAAAATGTAGACGGTTTTCTGGAAGATGAGAATGCCGCAAGTGCTAGGCAAGCTAGAGAAACGCTTGCAAAAACTGAGCAAGAAACAAAGATAGATCCTGAGGTATCTGCTGAATCTGAGCCTAACCAAGGATTAAAAAAATCTGATCTAGAAAGAAAGGACACAAACACAGAAGAAACTGAAGATTTGCTGCCACTGAAAAAAGATGCAACCCAAAATAAAGAGGAGGAAAGTGGGAAAGAAAATAATAAAGAACCAATAGTGGTTACTGAAGATCTAAATGAGGAAACTAATAATATTTCAGATCCAAAAATAGAAATACAAGCGGAAGTAATAAAGATAGAAACCCTTGAGGTGGAACATAAAGCTGAAACATCCACGGAGGATGGAAAGGAAAACATCTCTCCAGACCACCAGACTGATGATAAAATAGCTGATATAGAAGAGAGCGAGCCATTAGATGAAGAGCTTGCTGTAGACTCCACACTTCCAAATAATGATCCTTTAGAGGAGGCATCTTATATTGAAAATATCAAAGCCTTGAGCATTATGAGGGAGTTTTTGCATGAAGAACGTATAGCCGAGTTCACAAAGTTCCTTGGTCCTGACAACATTATGAGACTGGAAGCCATGTTTCAGGACATGGACTCTGAGCTAAGGTTAGCACGGAAGGATAATTTACGCCTGGATCACAATGACGAAGCTCTAGATCAGATTTTAGAAGCATCGGAGTTAAACATTCTTGAGTTTGTGGAGAGTGTTTTGGATTCTCGAGATGCAAACCCTGAGGAAATGGCAATAGGAAAAGAAATGTTTGATGATGAAGCCACTCTGTTAGAAGATGTCCAGGAGATCTCGTATAGGCTGAGACATAAACATTCCGCACTGAGTGACAGTTCTCTGCTTGCATCTGGAGAGATAAAAGACAAAGAAGACGAGGGTAAGAATACCTGTTTATCTTGCCAGAAATGCATAGTCCTTGCCACAGAAGTATATTTCCACTTTTGCAGTCAAATTTGAGAAACCTCTACTAATATGTTTGTTTTGTGTGCCAATACCCAATGGCATATGGCATACCCAAAAATATATATTTTAAAAATGTCTTACCTTTTCTTATTGTTTCTTATAAGCAGGCTGGCCATACACTGTAATATTTTCTTCGTTGAACCTGGGGGCTGAACAAACAAAATATAACCGATTCCTCCATCAATGCTTATGAGCGTTGATTGAGGAATCTCCCCTTGTCTTCATTGTATTCTGACAGAGGCTGCCGGCCACTGTCAGAATACTGGAACAGACCATGCAGCTGATTGGTTTCCCCCCTCTGTTCATTTAACGATTATCCAACCGTCTCCTTCGATCAGCTGATCGAGGGATACCGGGCGAAAAGGTGCCAACAGCGGCAACCACTGTGCAAATTTCGCCTGGGAGGGCCGGCTCTACAGTAGATGGCAATGTGGAGATTAGGGACAAATTGAGAGAAAGTGAGTTAACATACAAATTACCACCCAAGCCTTGAGATCTTTAACCCTTTGTTAGGACAGACATTCCTCCTGCACATCTAGTTTTCAACTGATAATGGAATCTGCCAGCATAGCACAAGCCAGGTTAATTATGGTGAACATAACTCCCCTTCCCCGGTGTAACATTATATAGCAGGGGAAAGCTAATTAAGATGTTTCAGCAAGTAGAAAGGTAAGCAGCATTTATTTTTTTTAAAGTTATGCTATGGAAATGGGAACATATAACAAATATAAAGTAGTAGCTCAGTTTGGCTGCAAAAGTGGAAATACATTTTTTTTAAAAGCACAAAGAATCTTATCTTTATTGTGTAAATAAGTGGTCCCATCAATCCACCATGTGATGAAGGCATAATGCAGACATGTTTGTAGCCCAGTTTGTGTGACAACTTTGGCTCCCGCCATAGGTACAGTGTACGAAAAGAACTTCGACATGAAGGGATACGGGGTGTGTTATTCACAGGATTACCAGGTTAAAATAAGGGGAAAAGGCCTAATGCAGCCACCACATCTGAAGAATGGCAATCTGCGATGTTATACATTTTTATTTTTTGGTTTAGATATGCTTTAACTGCAGATTTCTGAAGGCGATCCCGGTTAGTTCTGGTCAAGCAACTAATAAGGAAGCAAACAAGTTTAGGCTTTTTAACATGTTCAACTCAGTTGGTGCAGATATGCTAAAAGCAAACTTGCACTTTGGGCCATGAAGATCAATGCAACAGGTTTGGTTAAAGTGACTTTATCTTGAGAAAAGTATAAGGGTTGCCATTGCTGAAAATGCAAGTTGCAAGGTCAGCACTTTGAGACCCGGAACAGACATGCTGTAAATAAGTGTCAAAAAAAAGTGTCAAGTAGGAGTTCCTTATTTCACTACTTGTTTAGAGTCATGGATTTAGCACTGACAACAAACCATGGGCATAGCAGCCAGGGAACTAGCATTCTCAAAGGGATGTGCGCAATGGCAGGCTTCATTGTTCTGTTATGACCGATTCCCTTTAATGTCTCCCCCCTCCAGCAGCCCGTACTTGCCATTTCTTCGCTCACTCACTTTGTTCAGTTACGGGGAGAATATAACCTACCTGATACTTCCTAAGCTTAAGTAAGCTCTGACCACACACAGAACTCCTATTCCTTGCTCCTGGGGCGAGTATGTCTTGCTAGGAATTGCTAGAACATTAATGTGAACTTGTTGTTTGCCCCGCATGGGCAAAGCACCGGTCTGCTTTAAAGCAGGGGTAAACTCAAATTTAGGTCCACCAAACAATTTGGAGACTGTATCTCTGCATTCGAGCATAAAGAGTTAGGTAATGTTGTACCAACTCAGCTGTGCAGTGGGCCACTGACGTTAGCAGAGTCTTGACTATTATGAGGAAGTATCTGGATGAAGATACTATGTCCCAGGGACAAAGTAGTGATGTAGCTGCCAACACATGGAAACACAGGATGCAGTTATGGACGTATGCATCTGACATACCCAAAAATGCCAGATGATGAAGATGTTTGGCTTCTATTTCTCTGCAAGAGAGCAAAGGTCTGAGTTACAGGCAAAGGGACAGCTAAGTATTCCAGATCTTTGTATAGGGCTTTTATGTACATAAGGTGGCCATACATATATTGATTTGTGATCAATCTAGGTATGATCAATCGCAAACAGGTAATTCATTGATGAAAATATTTAATGATGCAACACAAACACAGAAAGTGGGGGGGGCATCCAAAAATTGAGTTGTCATCAGAGCAGTAGGTGAGGGACATCTATCTGGTGGTGAACTTTGATCCTATAAGGATTTGGTGTGCTGGTGACGTTTCTGCAATTATCTATCTGGTGGGGACACCTGTTTTTGTGCTCTTAAAATAGGAATTCAGTTCTCTTGAAGAGACTTTGTCTCATTTGCCTTTTATGTCTCTTGGACAGGAAGTGAAGTGAAACCCCACCCCCCAGCTGAAAAGAATCAGATAAAATGCTCTCTAAAACTAAAACAAAACTGAAAAACTTTTTGGGATTTACATACACTGAAAGGCTTTAGCCAAAATGCTTGGAAATGGTTTCTGGTCACCCACTTGACAAGCCAGAGCTACAAATATTTTGCAACTATGGCCATTAAGAGGTATATTTCACCCTGAGAAAATTAGATGGTAATCTGCGTATTCCCATCATGATCACACACACCGGTGAAGGCTCTAGGGCTGTCATTCCAATCCTTTGGCAGTGGCATCTCCCATATTTTTTTTTATGCGCTGTTAGAAATAAACAGTACGGGACAAGCATTGTGCAGTGCCACTTAGCAGAGCCACATATATAATGAGAGAATGTGGCCCCCTTCTTATAATTTATACTCATAAACAAAGTTTTTAAAGTGAAACTAAATGGTTTGGGGTTAATTTTTTAGGTTTCTATATTTTTTTTAAACAATTTTTTATGTCTTATCTCTACAGGTAATGGGTCTTTCTTCGCCTTTTGCAGCATGAGTAGTCACAATCCTATATATGCCATCTCTGTAAAGTTACATTAATATTCACCTGCATTTCGGTGACCTAGCATTCAGGCCAGAAATGTGGGAGAGATGGTGTAGGCACTTGGCAGGAAGAGGCGCTGTTGAAGCCTCTCCCTCTTGACCTGTAGCACAGCACATCACTAACATCATGGTGGCACCTAGGTAGAGGTTTTGGAGGTGGGGGCGATAATGGCAGTAAAGGAAACTGGTGCTTTGCCCCTGCAGAGCAAAAAAACAGGCAGCAGCACATGCTCACCTGTACTTCGGTCCCCAGCTGCTCTGTTCAGCTTTTGGGAAATGCAGAAAATACATATTACTTTTAGGAATGGAGTAGCCTATAACTCACTCCTCTTCCTCTTATATGACAGCACTGGTGCTTGAATCTTATAGTGAAAAAACAGGACAGACACTTGTTTCCCTGTCTGAAAAGCCATTGGTGAAAGTACCTTCTACAGCATCCCAAGAGCAGATCCCAGAAACAGGATCTGACCGTTATCGGAATAAAGATGAAAACAAAATAATTCAAGATACTCTTTCTGCTAAAAATGATGCACATACAACAGGTGTGAATGGCAAATCCAAAGATTCTCAGGAAGAAAGTGTTGCTCATTCATCCACAGAGGAAAATGTAAAAAGTGAATCACAAGTGCTAGATGGTGAACAAGCTACAAATGTCAGCATTTTTCTGGGAAGACCGAAAAAGCCTAAAGAAAATAAAAAGACAGAATCTCTTACTCTGATAGACAAAGATAGGACTGTAACCCTAAAGACTAAAACTGGATCTACGGGAGATGTTGTAGTAACCGAAGATGAAGAGACCAAGTGTGTTACAATTGATGGTGAATACCAGGAGGAAGGTTTTAATCTTTATGAACCACAAAAAGATAAGGGTTTTGGTGAGCCAGCAGAAACAGCTTTAATATCTTATGAAAAATTTAAACTGCATTCATTGGATCAGACCACTTTGGAGAATAATTCTACTTTCACGACCTCATCAGAAGCAAAGACATCCCCACCCAAGGAGGAGATTAAAGCCTCATTTGACATGGGTCGTGCTACACCCATAAAGCAAGAAATTAGTGCCCTGACAACATTGGGAGACACATTCTTCGCTATTGTTAGTGGAGGGGAGATCACGCAAGATGTCACTTATCTAGACAGAGCTGATTCAGAAAAAGAGGAAGATGATGAAGATAAGAAGGTATACTTAATTGGAATGGAGAAAAGCAACATGCATGAAGATGAACATTTAGAACCTCCTTTTGGCGACGATGCAGTTTTTCTGGAAGAAGAGAGATTACAGGAATCATTGTCAGATGCCAATGGAGATACAGCTCCGGACACTGAACAAAAGATTAACATTACTGTAAACAACTTCTCTAAAAATGCAGTAAATATGTTTCCAGATTATGAAACACCCCTTCCCAAAGGTAGTACTGATACTGAATCTGTAAAACGAGTTGTAACAGAAGACCAACCTGAAATCAGAAATGTGAAAGAAATCTCTGAATTAAAAATGAAGGAAATGCATTCTGAGATCAGTGAAAAAACTACAGAGGAAAGCCAAACACCCCCAAACGATAAGCCAGTGCCAAAAGATTTTGAAGAAAACATTAAGCTAGTGGATGTAAGAGAAAGTTTATTAGATCAAGATCTTTTAAAACTGGAAGATTCAACCATTGTTAAAAGCACAGCCAAAGATTCTCAGGAAGAGGGTGTTGCTCACAAAGCAATGGAGGAAAATTCAAAGAGGAATGTGCCAGATAGTAAACAAGCCAACAATGTCAGCATCTCCCTGGGAGGAGCTAAAACATCAAAAGAAAACAAAAATGTAGAATCTTTTACTCTGATAGACATAGATAGGATAGTGAACTTAAAGACTGAAGCTGGCTTAACAGAGGATGCTGTAGTAACCGAAGATGAAG